GGTGTGCACACATCCCATTGATAGGCAGTTCTGAGCTGACTGCTTGTAGATGGCAGATGATGGGTCTCTGAGCCTCTAGCTGCAAGAGACTCACAAGACAGATTCTTTCCCTAATGATTAACAGACTTTTGTATGCATATATTCTATTGTATTGAGTTTATGTGGTAAAAATTTGCTGAATAGGTACCTAAAACCCATTGCCTGCCATTCAAAGGAGGCCTGTGTGAGGCCCTAGCGGTATTTGGCACAGAGGCAGATACCTCTCTGCCTATTCTCTACCTGCCTGATCCACCTGGGGCACAGCCAACAGAGGTGAGCTACATGTTGTTCAAACCCCATTATCCACCATCCCAAGGAAGCCTGGGGCAGGGCAAGGACATTCAGCATAGAACCCCCTCTACCTGAAGCACCTGGGCACCGCCAGCAGAGCAGATGCCCGAGAAACATTCAGATCCACACACAGCTACCAGAAGTGAGCAGCAGGTGCTTCGCTGGGCTCCATCGTCATGCCCAGGGCTCTGCTTGACTCCATGAAGAGTCGTACATCAGGAACATTTGACCAAAACCAAGGACAGCCAGATGGCTAAAGGCCCACATAAGAACACAACAAGAGCCAGGGCAATATGTCACCACCAGAACCCAGCTATCCTTCTATAGCAAGCTCTGGATGTCCCAGCACAGCTGAAGCATAAAAAGATGGCCTTAAATTCAACCTTATAAAGATGGCAGATGCCTTTAAGGAGGAAACAAATAAATTCCTTAAAGAAATACAGGAAAATACAATCAAACAGGTAGAGGCCTTTAAAGTAGAAATAAATCTCTTAAAGGAATAGAAAACAACAACAACTAAACAGGTAAAGGAAAGGAATAAGATTGTTAAAGAGCTGAAAGTGGAAGTAGAAGCAATAAAGAACATAGAAACTGAGGGAATCCTGGAGATGGAAAGCCAAGAGAATAGAATAGGAACCAGTAAGCATCACCAGCAGAATTGAAGAGATGGAAGAAATAATGTCAAGTATAGAAGATACAATTGAAGAAATCAACACAGCAGTCAAAGAAAATGTTAAATCTAAAAAAAATTTTCTGACACAAAACATCTAGGAAATCTGTGATACTATTAAAAGTCCTAATATACAAATAATAGGAAGAGAAGAAAGTGAAGAGACCAGAAAATATTTTCAACAAAATCATAGAAGAAAAATTTCCCAATCTAAACAGAGATGCCTATACACATACTTTAAGCATACTAAATACCAATTGAATTGGACCAGAAAAGAACAACACCTGACTGCTCAAAAGAGACTTTAAAAACTAGAAGGGCCTGGACAGGACTTTCAGCCTCTAAGAGTAATAACACAACTAAAGGAGAGGAAGGAGATTCAACTTAGAAGGGAAAAAGTCAAAATAGCACTCACAGATGATATGATAGTATACATAAATGATCCCCAAAATTCTACCAAGAACTTCCACAGCTGATAACAACACCTATAGCAAAATGGTTGGATAAAAAAAATTAATTAAAAAAAAATCAGTAGCTCCTTTTTATACAAATGAGAATCAGGCTGAGAAAGAAATTAGAGAAACACACTTCACAATAGTCACAAAAAAAAGATAAATTATATTACTGTAACTCTAACCAAGCAAGTAAAAGACTTGTATGACAAGAACTTCAAGTCTTTAAAGAAAAAAGTGATCAGAAGATGGATAGATCTACCAGACTCATGGATCAGTGGCATTAACTTAGTAAAAATGGCCATCTTACCAAAAGCAATCTACAGATTTAGTGTAGTTCCATCAAAATTTCAACACAATTATTTACAGATCTTGAAGAGCAATCCACAATTCATATGAAAAAATACAAAACCTGGGATAGCTACAAGAATTCTGTACAATAAGATAACTTCTGGAAGTATTGCCATCCCTGATTTCAAGCTGTTCTACACAGCAATAGTAATAATAAGAGCATGGTATTTGCATAAAGACATACAGGTTGATCAAGAGAATTGAATCAAAAACACAGAAATAAATCCATAAGCCTATGGACATCTGATTTTTGACAAAAAATAAAAAATAAGGCCAAACCACACAACTGCAAAAAGAGCATTTTCAACAAATGGTGCTGGTGTAACTGGATGTTTACATGTAGAAGAATGCAAATATATCCTTATTTATTGATCCTGAACAAAACTCAAGTCAAGTGTATCAAAGAACTTCACATAAAACCAGATACACTAAATCTAACAGGAGAGCAAGAGGGGAAAAGCTGTGATTGTGTTGGTTTTAGAAGACAACTTTCTGAACAAAAGACCAACAGCTCAAGCACTAAGATCAAAAATTAATAAACAAGGCTTTATGAAGCTGAAAATCTTCTGTAGGGCAAAGGACACTGTCAACAGAACAAAAGGGCAACCTATATATTGGAAAAAAGATCTTCACCAACCCTAAAACTCACGGAGGAGAAATACTCAAAATAGAAATACTCAAAAAGAACTCAAGAAAATAAACACCAACAAAACAAATAATTTAATTAAAAAATAGAGTATAGAGCTAAGTCAAAAATTCTCAACAGAGGAATCTGTAATGGCTGAGGAACAGTTAAAGAAATCAATCAATCTACTTGGAAACGGGCAGGGAGGAGTTAAGGGAGGGAGGGTGGGATTGGGAGGGAATGAGGGAACGGAACGGGATACAGAATTATTAAAATGTAACTAATAATTTAAAAAAAAAGACTGTATGTAAATAAATATATATCTATGCTTAAACAAAAAAAAAAAAAAGAAGAAAAAGAAATGCTCAAAGTCCTTAGCCATCAGGGAAATACAAATCAAATGACTCTGAGATTCCATCTTACACCCTTCAGGATGGCTAAGATCAAAAACTCAAGCAACAGTTCCTGCTGGTAAGGATGTGGAACAAGGGGAACACTTTGCCATTGCTGGTAGTGCTGTACACTAGTACACACCACTTTGGAAATCAATCTGGCACTTTCTCAGAAACTTAGGAATAGGCCTTCCTTAAGACACAGCTATACCAGTCCTCGGATTATACCCAAAATATGTTATACAAAGATTCCTGCTCAGCTATGTTCATAGAGCTTTATTCAGAAACAAGAAACAATCTAGATGTCCCTCAATGGAAGAATGGACAAAGAAACTACACACGGCCTCTGAAAGACTCAACCCAGCAGGGTATGAAAGCAGATGCTGAAACTCATAGTCAAACTTTGGGCAGAGTGCAAGGAATCTTATGAAAGAAGGGGGAGATAGAAAGACCTGGAGGTTACAGGAACTCCACAAGGAGAGCAACAGAACCAAAAAATCTGGGTGCAGGGATCTTTTCTGAGATTGATACTCCAACCAAGAACCATGCATGGAGATATCCTAGAATCCCTGCACAGATGTAGCCCACGGTAGCTCAGAATCCAAGTGGGTGCCCTAGTAATAGGAGCAGGGGCTGTCTTTGACATGAACTCAGTGGATGCCTCTTTGATCACCTCCTCCTGAGGGGCCTGGGCTGCCTTACCAGGCCACAGAGGAATACAATGCAATAAGTCTTGATGAGACCTGATAGGCTAGGGTCAGATGGAAGGGGAGGAAGACCTCCCCTATCAGTGACCTTGGAGACGAGCATGGGAGAAGATGAGAGGGGGAGCATGGGATCAGGAGGAAATGAGGAAGGGGACTACAGCTGGGATAAAAAGTAAATAAACTGTAATTAATATAAAAATTAAAAAAAGAAAAATATTCTGAGTGAGGTAACCCAGACCCAGAAAGTCATATATGGTATGTTCTCACGTATAAGCAGATATTAGCCTTATAGTATAGGAAAATCACTCTACAATCCACAGATCCAAAGACACTAAGTAACAAGACAGGCCCAAAGGAGGATGCTTAATTCTCTGTCAGAAGGAGAAATAAAATAGAAATATGAAGTGGATGGAGAGAGAACTATGAGAGTGGGGGTAGGAAGAGGAACAAAAGTGGGGATTAAGTAGGAGGAAATTGGGTGTGGCAGGTGGAATGACTGAGAGCTAAAAGGGAAACAGATGGGTGGGGCAGCTCTAGGACAAGATGGAGAACCACAGCGAGGTAGGCTTCTGGGCAGATATTGGTGTGACTCTAGCTGAGCCTCTTAGCAGGAGAGGGGATATGGAGACTGAAGTATCTCCCTCCTATAGCCAGGAAGGGCTTTCAGCGGAAGGAGGGGGACACCAACTTTCCCAAAAAACCTTCAACCGCAGGCCTACAAGGATAAAGATGCCTGCAAGGATTGCAGGGATAAAGACAGAGCAGAGATTGAGGGAAGGACAAGGCAATAATTGACCGAACTTGACACCCACCACAAGGGAGAGAGCCAATCCCTGTCACTATTAACGATACTCTGCGATACTTGCAGGGCAGTTGCCAAGCGTACCTACCCTTTTACAGCCTCCACACATCAGGGGAATTAAACAGACATAGAGAAACACAGAATTAGCCAGAGCACAGAAAGTCCTGTGGAAGAGTCGGTAAGGACAGAGGGACCCAGAGGAGAAAAAACTCCACAAGAAGACCAACAGAGGCAAGTAGCCTAGCCCCATGGGGAATCACAGAGACTGGACCCCCAACCAAAGAGCATGGAATGGACCTACGCCTTGCATACATATGTAGCTGTTGGGCATCTTAGTCTTCAAGAGTGTCCCTTAGAAATTAGAGTGGGTGCTGTCTGTGACATGGATTCTGTTGCCTGCGCTTGGATCACTTTTCTGTCCCTAGCTGTTGGGCCTTGTTGGACCTCAGGGCAAGAGGATGCACTTAATTCTGATGCAAATTGATGTGTTGGTAGTTGGAATCTCCCCTTTTCTGAGGAGAAGGGTAGGGGCAGAAAGGGGAATGCGGTGGGAACAAGAGGACAGGAAGGAGGAGGCTGTGATACACATGTAATGTGAACAAATACATTTAAATTTTTTTTTAAAAATAAACAAAACATTTTGCTATATAAACAAAGGAAAAAGACACATCTTAATGTAGTTATACACATTTTATTTCCTGTTTTGTAATGTAATAATGTAATATACATTGTACAAAATGATTAAATTTGTGATTTGTTAAATAAGTTAAGTCTACACAATTGAACATATTATCACATATAATGTGCCATTACAAATATTGTTATTTTAAAAATCACTTCCTTTAAGCATATTCTAGTTATATGCATACAAGTTTACATGTCTAGCTATTGCATAAAACATATTATAATTATTCAAATGCTGTTAAACCTGCTGAGCAGTGGCCTCCAGGTTGCATTCATAGAATGAGATTAGCATTTCTTTGTATGTACATAATAGAGAAGTATTTAGAAAAAGACTGTGATAACTCTATTTTAAAGAATGTAAGAGGTCAGGAAAGATGGAAGCAGATGAAGGTGAACCATGGATCTGATATCAGTTCCTCCTCAGAAATTCGAACTTATGACCAGCTGATTTCTATTGGTTCATCAAGAGTAACATTCTTATTTTTCAGGTCAATTATTAGAATCTAAAAACAGAAAGTAAAGTTGCAATTAATTTAGGGTAGTGTAGTACCAAAGTAATAGAAAGACTATATTCTAAGTTGCAGAGTAAATCCAACATGCAGAATAGACTTCAGTGTCAGCACAGCAAGCGTTCAGACTGAAGTAAGAGAACTTACACTCGGCGCTCTTGTACTCTAACATCCTGGGGAATTCATTAGAACCTAATCTTGTCAAAAGTTTTCTTTAAAACTGAATTTGAGCAACCTGTTATTCTGTGAAAACAATGTTTCCTCACAGGTATAGTCACAAACACACGGCCTACTCAGAGGAAATACTGGTAGCTGATTTCTTAAGTATATATTGTATTAAGTCCAAACTTATTGGTCATAAATTCACAGAACTTGGATGCAAAGTAACTTAAAGGTCACATACCTGTATATATTTACTAACTTTGGAGGAAAAGCCTAAAATTATAGTGGAAAATAAAAAGCCCTTTTGGGCAGTGGTATGCCTCACACACAAGAATCCTGAACGTATGGCTCAGGGTCTTGCCGCTCTCATGTCGCTATTCATGGTGCTAAGAGGAGATACATTGACTTTGAAACAATTTCAGAGGCTTTTTATCTAAGATATATTTGACTCTCAAAGGTAAATCTTACTATTGAAAAGAGTATTTGAGAAATTGTTCCAGGTGAGAGCAATTTAGAATTTTAATCTAAATTAATATTGCTTATTTTATGTAAGGAAAATTATAAAATAGCTGCCATTAAATTGATTTGTATGACAAGTTAATACATAAATAAATATATGAGTGTAAAACATTAAATAAATGGCAAACACCACAGTTATTTTGAAATTCTGTTTCTTTAATCGTGGCAATGACCATGAAAAATCATGTATTTTGCAGAGTCATGTTGAATAAAGCACATTCTTATGTCACTCACCTCCTTGGCTTCATCTTGAGTAAATGTAACTTGTTCTGTATTTCCACCATAAATCAAATTAACCTCATTGACTCTGGCTGTTCCTTTTCCCCAGACATTAATGTTTCCAAGTATCATCTCGTTTTTGTTTCTATACCCATATTTCAATACAGTGCTTGTTAAAGTTGTCTATAATGTCAAAGAAAGAGAAAAAAAGTCTCCATTAAAGTTTCAAGTAAATAGAAACAATACATAGCTGTGAACCACTATGAATCTCACTGAAGAACAAATAAGTGACTCAGTATATTAAGTAATGTGTTTTATATGATGGACAAATAATAAAACTCCATACATCATTTAGTAAAATTGATGATAGAAGATATTACATACCTTATTTAAATTGAATTGTATCAAGGTATATAGATCTTTTTCATAAGTGTCTGTAGAGAGAGAAAAATGGTATGATATTTTATCGATACTTTCTTGTTAAAATCAAACAAACACACAAAACAAATAAAGATGTTATTTACATCCATGACTTTAGCTGAAGTCCATCTTGCCATAACCATGATATAGCTAACACTCACAAAAGCCTATGTAGCAAATTTTAGGCACAATAACAGAAATATTATAGAAGATGTATATTGCCATTATCATAATTGTCATTATTATTGTAGCTATTCTCATTGTACAGTGAAGAAATCTGTTGTGAGACAATTAAACAAATGAATTTTTTAAAAATATTCTTCTCCTTGTACTTATACAAGAACTGAGGATTTATAAGATGGCAGAATTAAAATGTAGTCATATATATCATAAAGACAGGGACTGGTGTAATGTCTGAAAATTGATATCTCTCAATTCCACATCTATTCACACATGTCGGAATGTGCAAATTATGGTCTATTCATGTCATTAATTTTCTGAAAATTACTTTTCTGCTAATTTTTCAGATTCTAAATCTTATATTCTGCCACAAACACTTTTCTTTCTGCTTATTCACATAGACATGTAGGTTCTATGTACGCTTCTTCATACAGGTATGTGTATATATGTGTATTTCATGTGTTTGTGAAAGGTGAGTGATTCCAACTGTTTTTGGAGACGTTCTCCCACTAGCCCAGAGCTTGTCATATAAACTACATGGCTTACACCTCACCCCAAAGTTAAGCCTGTCTCCAGTTCCTCAGTGTAGGATTGCCAGGGCACACTACTACAAAACAAGGTGAGGTATGTTCTTGGGTATGTTTTCAAGGCAAGCACGTGATTAGCTGTTTTTCCTACTCTCACGTTCTGTGCTCTTAACAAAACCTTTAGATGTGCCTGATGCCAGTGTAGAGCAAAGCATATATTTTGAGAGACTTAGCTATTTATTCCAGCTATTTATGTTGAGACACCATTATGCAAACAATTAAAATAATGTAACTTTAAGGTAGTTTACCATGTTAAGGTAAAAATAAGAAGTAAAAACACCAGCAACAACGACAACATGGAATTTTAAAAGGAAAAGCAAAATCAATAGCAACACAGTAAGAAGACTGAACTTATTTCAGCGCACTCTGCAGAACACATGCTGGTCTTAGAGTATGTTGTTTTCTTTGTTTGTTTGTAAATCAATTATGCCACATCGGATGTGGCATGGTCAGCCCATTGACTTATCAGGTCAATCTAAATATCACGGTGTTGGATTCTGCTAAAAGTAAGCCATGCCAGCACAATTCACTTAGCTTATCCTTTAATGCAGGGACTAAACATCTTTAAAGTAAGAAAGGAGCCTTTGCTTTTTAAATTTTTTATGTGTACTGTTTCCAGCAATAATTATACTGTTTTAACATTAAGTGATATGTTTAGGCTTGTGCTCAGCTTTCAAAGGACAATAGTTAACACCATGTGATTACGTCAACTCCATGCGACATAAGGCAGGCTGTCAGTGCCACCCACCTATGGTCTCTCCATCATCCCAGAACAGAGTTCCTTGTGCCATTTGGTTATCATCTGCAGCAACGATGAGCTTCATGGGGTTCTTTCGACTACAAGAAAGAAATATGTAACCATATCTAATTTTTGGAGAATATTTGATATGATATATAGGAATATTAATTATAATGGAAGTTAAGAAAACAAACAAATGTCTAAACAGAGAAAATGAGGAAGTTTCCTTCTATAAAATGAGAAGAGATACAGAAAAGAAATTCATCATACTCAATGTAAAATACCTCATATAACATTTGCTTTAGGAGTTCACCTATTGCCATTAATCGGAAGAGGACTCAGTCACAGTAATTTAAGACATTAAGCGTGTGGGTACCCTACTTTTATGCATCATTTCTTTAATCATTCTCTCTTTTCCTCCCTTCTTCCCTCCTTTCCTCCATTGCTCTCCCAAAGTACGAGTGTCAGACACAGGTGTGTCCAGTATTCTACCATTAACCTGTAGCCTCAGCCTTATTACTAGAATTTTTATTACCTTATGCTTAACGTTTCTTCACATTTCTATATATAAATCATTCAAATATAAACTGCATATTAAAATAATGAAAAGAATAATCAGATAGTTCTAAGTTCAGGATTTTTAATTGATCATGTCTTTCAGTTTATGCTTATTTAGCCTTATGCTTATTTCAGTTTATCCTTACTTATGAACCAAATACAGCTCACTCTACAGCATTTTGTGAGAAAAAACTTGGTTTGACAGCATCAAATTGTTAAAAAGGTATTCTCTAAACAAATTATTCTTTTATGTCTTGCTATGGTAATCACAGATACTGAAAGACACACTGTTCTGAAGTTTCCTAACAAAATCAGAATTTTAAGACTTAAATTTTCAGTAATTTCTTATTTAATTTTTAGGTAAGCATGGCAATGCACAAATGTTTACACATGTACTAATTAATATTTACTTAGATAAAAGAAATGATATCTTATAAATATCCAAATATCTGGTTTAGTTGTACCTGTAGTAGCTTATAAATTTAATTCCATGTTCCCAGAATTTGAGAGACTGAGACAGGAACATCACAGATTCAGTGTTTAATTCTACTACAGATAGATACTGTTTTGAAAACAAATATATAAATCTAATTAAAGAATCATATGAAAGAAGTAGGAAATAGTAAGATCTGGAGAAGACAGAAGCCCCACAAGGAGAGCAACAGAACCAAAAAGTCAAAGCACAGGGATCTTCCCTGAGACTGATACTCCAACCAAGTAGCATGTATGGAGATATCCCAGAACCCCTTTACAGATGTAGCCCATGACAGTTCAGTCTCCTAGTGGGTTCTATAGTAATGGAACAGGGACTGTCTCTGACACGAACTGATTGGCCTGCTCTTTGATCACCTCTCCCTGAGCGGGCAGCAGGCTTACCAGGCCACAGAGGAAGACACAGAGGCCACTCCTGATGAGACCTAACAGACTAGGATCAGAAGGAAGGAAAAGAAGACCTCCCCTATCAGTGGACGTGGGGACAGACATGTGTGGAGAAGCAGCAGAAAGGGAGGGGTTGGGAGGGGAGGAGGGAAGGAGCTACAGGGGGGATACAAAGCAAATGAAGTGTAATTAATAAAAAAAATTTAAAAAAAAGAATACAAAAAACTGGGCACAGAGTTTTTTTCTGAGACTGATTCTCTAACCAAGGACCATGCATAGATATAACCTAGAACCTCTGCTCACATGTAGCCCATGGCAGCTCAGTATCCAAGTGGGTACCCTAGTAAGGAGAAGAGGGACTGTCTCTCACATGAACTCAGTGGCTGGCTCTTTGATCACCTCTCCCTGAAGGAGAAGCAGCCTTACCAGTCCACAGAGGAAAAGAATGCAGCCAGTCCTGATGAGACCTGATAGGCTAAGGTCAGATGGAAGGGGAAGAAGACCTCCCCTATCAGTGGACATGTGAAGAGATGAGGGAGGGAAAAAGGGAGGGATTGAGACAGAATGAGGGAGGGGTCTACAGCTGGGATACGAAGTGAACAAAAACAAAAGAAACACACACACAAAAATCCTAATGAAAATTATATTAAAATCTCTTACAGGTTACACCCTACTTTGTGTAAATATAATGTTAGTCTCACATCTAACTTGTTAACTTGTGACCCTCAGCACATAAATAAATAAAAAATAAAAAAGGAATGGTGAGTTTTTATCCTCCTGTCTCTACTTCCTGAGTGCTGCTCAGATTTCAGTTATGTTCCATCTTTGCTTAGTTCATGTAGGACTAGAGTTCATACACTCAGGGTTTCATGCTTGCTAGGAAAGCTCTCTGAGGGTTCTTCATGTCACAAATTACATATTCATGTGTATAAATGGAGAGATGGCCCAAGCAGGTAAGGTGTTTGCTCATGGTTTCTGGGATGCCATCATGTATCTTTTCAGGAAAGCGACCAAAGGAAAGAATGATAAGTGAAAGGAAAGAGTCACTGTTACATCAACCACGTGCCACAGAATGTACTCATGATCCTTGGAGGTTGGACATATTAGTAGGGGTTCTTATGAATTCAAAAAGAAAGGACCTGACATTTTATTAACTTATGAATATAAACAGTAAAATTCAAAACAGCTATGTCTCCCTTATTGTTCACAAGGGATAAGGCTTTGGGAAGATGGAAGGTACCTCCACACATGAGGAGACTTAGTGCATGAACGAACTGTTGTTAACCATATTGTTAAGTGATATCAACAATATCTATTATTAACAGTCAATTAAGCTTGTTAATGGATTTCTGGATTTTCATAGAGATAAGTCAGAAAATAACATACAGAACAGAAATGAAGAGATAGAGGAAGTGAAATAAAATGGAAAGCAAACTGAAATCTCCCAAATAAACTCCATAAAATTGATTATTATTCAATGATATAAATAAATAAGATAAAATGTTAAGAGATGCAGGGAGTATGAATGAAAGTAAACCAAAAAGGCTACAGGCTGTGTAATTCCAAAATCATGTCATTCTATGACATGCAATTGGTGAATGCTAAAGGCTCAGTCATTGCCATGAGTTCTACGAGGTTGAGCGGGTAGAAAATAAAGGCTATTTAGAGCGATGAACTTGCTCTGTGTGATATTACTCACTTGCTTAAAACCACAGATCATAAAAGAGCAGGCACAAACCCTGGTATAAACTATTGACATTGGATGATATTAATGTGTCCAAGCAAGTTCACCAAATATGGTGGGACTGTTTGTGAAAAAGAGGCTATGAAAATGGCAAAGACCGTAGCTTTTCAGGTCTCATCAAGACTGGCTGTGCCATCTTCCTCTGAAGGCTAGGGGCAGATAGAAAGGGAGTATGTCCTTCCCTGTCAGGGGACTAGAGAAAGGGCATAGAAGGAGAAGAGGGAGGGCATGTGGGACTAGGCGGAGAGAAGGGAGGGGGCTGCAGAGGGGATACAAAGTGAATAAAATGTGATCAATAAATTAATTTAATTAATTTTTTAAAAAAAGAAAATGGCAAGGCATTGAAACCTTCCTATATACCTATCCTTCTTATCAGCTTTCTACAATACAGATTTGTATTCTAGAAAGTCTTTATAAAAAGTTTTCAGTTGTTAGATTGAAAATTTGCCCAACATTATGAAACCCTGGATGTGTGAGCTCTAGTTCTACATGTGCAGCACTAAGGAAGTAGAGACAGGAGGATCAAAAGTTCAAGGTCATCCTTTGCTTCATAGGCAGTTCAAAACATGTTTATACTATACAAGACAGTGCCTCAAAAATTAACAATGCTTTTTAAAAGGTGTAGTTATTTTCATGTCATAGTTAAAAATAAAAAAGATGATGGCCTTGCTTAAGCAGCGACTCAAAAGGTGGAGTATTCATTGTGAATACTAATGCATATTAGAGAGGTCATTACGTTTTAGCCTGTACTCAGAAAAGCCTTACTTCTGAAGGGCATATAACACTGGAAGACAATTTTACATGAGTCTTCATGCTCATTGCATGTTGAGAGATACTACCAACTTTTCTTTTGAAATTACATTTTAAACAAATAAGTAAGGTGATATTGAAAGAAGGGGTCAGATCTTAAAATTCTATGAATTACTACTAATGGTTATTATGTTTACTGTTCACTATAATAAAGTGACAGTGTGTCTGCTTCCAAGCTGAGGGTGAGTGGAATGGTTTGAGTATCATAACAAAATATTCATTTCAGCTAGGTTAGTGCATGCTTAACTGGACTCTAAGCTTCAAGTGTGACATCTACCAGGATGGCTCTCTGTCATCCCAGGGGAACGAGGTAGCAGGGGAAGCTGAAGTTCATCAAAAGTCTCATTTTCTGCCATCTCTTCTGTTTATGACTAAGCACCCACGTTTCCACAGAAGGAAGGCAGGCAGAAAAGCTCAGATCATTTTTAACTACTGACTTTTAGAGCTGGACATATTATGACAAGGAATTGCAGTTCTAAAAGGAGTTAATGTACCTGAGATGTGTGTTCCGACTGGGTTCTTGACATGGTAGAATATAACCTCCTCGGACGTGTAGATTGATTTCATCAAAAGGAGCTGGAAAGACTTGATGTTGTCCTCTTACCTTTATATCTTCCCCCTGGTAATGAGAAGAAGAAGAGGAACGAGATATAACAATTAGTAATGCAAAAATGTAAGAAGGCATACTTATGAAATTAAGTGTTAGAATTTTTCACTTTAAAAGCTGACAGAACTATTACAAATAAAGCTGCTACAAACATAGTTGAGCAAATGTCCTTGAGTACTTGAGTATTTTTTGGATAAATGCCTAGGAGTGGTACAGCTGGATCTAGAGGAAGCACTATTCCTAATTGTCTGAGAAAGCGCCAGATTGATTTCCAAAGTGGTTGCACAAGTTTACATTCCCACCAGCAATAGAGAAGGGTTCCCCTTTCTCCACAACCTCTCCAGCATGTGTTGTCACTTGAGTTTTTTATCTTAGCCATTCTGGTGGGTCGTTTTGATTTGCATCTCTCTGATGGCTAAGGACATTGAGCATCTCTTTAAGTATTTCTCTGCCATTCTATATTCCTCTACAGAGAATTCTCTGTTTAGCTCCATACCCCATTTTTAATTGCATTGCTTGAGTTATTGCTTTTTAACTTCTTTAGTTCTTATCCCAGATGTCCATCAATGGAGGAACGGATACAGAAATTGCGGTACTTTTACACAATGGAATACTACTCAGCAATTAAAAACAAGGAAATCATGAAATTTGCAGGCAAATGGTGGGATCTAGAAAAGATCATTCTGAGTGAGGTATCCCAGAAGGAGAAAGACACACATGGTATATACTCACTTATATAGACCTATAAGATATGATAGACATACTGAAATCTATACACCTAAAGAAGATAAACAAGAAAGAGGACCCGGGGTAAGATGATCAGTCCTCACTTAGAAAGACAAATGGGATGGGCATTGGATGTAGGAGAAAACAAGTAACAGGACAGGAGCCTACCACAGAGGGCGTCTGAAAGACTCTACCTAGCAGTGTACCAAAGCAGATACTGAGACTCATAATCAAAACGTGGGCAGAGTGCAGGGAATCATATGAAAGAAGGGGGAGTTAATATGACTTGGAGAGGACAGGAGCTCCACAAGGATCAAATATATCTGGGCACAGGGGTCTTTTATGAGACTGTTTCTCCAACCAAGGACCATGTATGGATATAACCTAGAAACCCTGCTTGGATGTAGCCCATGGTAGCTCAGTATCCAAATGGGTACCCTAGTAAGGGGAACAGGGACTATTTCTGACATGAACTTGGAATTGGGAGGGAATGAGGGAGTGGGATACAAATTTAATAAAATGTAACTAATAATAAAAATAAATAAAAAGAAAGGAAGGAAGAAAAGGGAGAGGGAATCTGGAAGATTAGGGTTGAATACATTCTCTGTGTGTTTGAAAGTGTAATGAAACTCATTAATATGTACAATTAATATAGACTAATTAAAAGCTTGAGGAAATCTAAAAAAAGAGGTGACAGATATTTGTAATATAGTACACATTTCTGTTTCTTTGCTAGAACAAATCATGATTGCATAAGACACTAAAGGAGACTATATTAATTGTATCATGGAATGTTAATTTGATTCAACTATAATTAAATGCACATAACTCATTCTGAATTTTTAAGTGGGAAATAAACAAATGCAGAAATTACTTTATGAATAAATCAACCAAATATGATGTATTTGTGTTTATTTAGTTCTCAAAATTCTTTCAAAACTCACCGTATGGTAGTTAAACCACCGAGCATTGGGGACATAGCCATTCACACTGTCCCTGAACTGGAAATGAAAAAGAAAGTCATTGAAATCATCTGAAATAAAATTATATCATTTAGATAATACAAAACATGTTCATACATACAGGCTCAAGGACAGGGGTCACCATAAAAGCTGGACCCCACAGGAACTGCTTGTATATTTCCCAGGTTGTCTTATCATCAAAGAACCTTCACAAAAGAGTAACAAAGTATTCAATTAAACTTAAGAATTTAATCTCTTCTTCTAAAAATTAATTTATATTTTTGTTAATTACAATTTATTAATTTTGGATCCCAACTGTAGCCCTCTCCCTCATACCCTTCCAATACCATCCTTCTCCCCCTTTTTCCTCCCAAGCCACTGCCCCATTCCACTGATAGGGGAGGTCCTTCTCTCCTCCCATCTGAACCTAGCTTATCAGGTCTCATTAGGACTGGCTTCATTGTCTTCCTCTGTGACCTGGTAAGGTTGGGCCACCACCCTCCCACCATGGGGAGAGGTGGTCAAAGAGTAAGCTACTTAGTTCATGTCAGAGACAGCCCCTGTTTCCAGATTCTGGCTATTATGAATAAAGCTGCTACAAACATGCTTTGAGCAAATGTCCTTGCTGTATACTTGAGCATATTTTGGATATATGCCTAGGAGTGGTATATTTGGATCTTGAGGTAGCACTATTCCTAGTTTTCTGAGAAAATGCCAAATTGATTTCTAAAATGGATGTGCAAGTTTACATTCCCACCACCAATTGAGGAGAGTTCCCCTTTCTCCACTTCCTCTCTATCATGTGTTATCACTTGAGTTTTTGATCTTAGCCATTCTGATAGGTGTAAGGTGAAATCTTAGGGTCATTTTAGTTAGCATTTCCTTGATGACTAGGGATGTTGAACATTTCTTTAACTGTTTCTCTGCTATTCAATATTCCCCTCTATTAAGAATTCTCTGTTTAGCTCTCTACCCCCTTTTATTAGTCATCAGAACAAAATGCCAGGGTACAGGTTGGGAAAGAATCTTCACCAACCCTACATCTGCGAGAGGGCTAATATCCAGAATATATAAAGAATTCAAGAAGTTAAACAGCAACAAACCAAACAAATTAAAAAACAATTAAAAAAATAGGGCACAGAGATAAACAGTGAATTTAACTTCTTCTCAACACCATAAAATGCTTCGTGAGATCCAAGTTACCTGTAAAGTTGTTTTATTTTGATTTCTTTGTGTAGTCAAATGAAAACCATGGTCAAAAGTATTTAAAACAAAAATCTATTCTATTACTTGGAACACAGTGTGGAACAGTGCAAACTTTATATGTAAAACCAAATTTTGTCTAAATAATCTAAGAAAAAAATTGTTAATAAATATTTTAACAGTTTAGTGACAAATCAGTATGGGGGAGACTTTTAGAGAAGAGTTGATACACCTGCTTAGATATCAACTTTGTCTAGTAAAGATCAACAACATTGAAAGGAACAGTGACAAACACCCTGAAAAAAGATTATAAAACTCTCACTGTGTGGATTTTTGTTTATTTTAACCAAAGAGTTTTTAAGACAAGATGTGCATGTTTACACCTGCAATCCTAACACATGAAAGCTGAGGCAGAAGAATTGCTGTGAGATGAAGAGCACCTGATTGCATGAGTTCAAAGTATACAAAGTCAAGTCGTGTTTCAAGAAACAACTAATCAAGAAAGTAAAAAAAACAAACAAATGAACATGTTAAACAGGTAAAGGACTAAGAAAATAGAAATAGATATACATTTTAACTTATATATATGAGTTAAACTTTTATATATACTAAATTATATATGCTACATATATCTATAATTAAATATATTACATATATACAAAACTATAGTTCAAAATATTAAAAACTAAAAATGAAGAAATTAATAAAAATCACAGTGGAGAGAGGAAAAATTGCCTTAGAGCATTTTGTAATGATTGACATATTGTTATAACATCAAAGATGTAAGTTGGTTTCTAACATTGAAAATAATCATAAAAAATATAATGTAAATTTGGAAATAGTTGTTATCAAATGTTCCTGTTTCTTATGCTATTGAAATTAAAAAATTGATCATTTTTAAAATTAGTTTTAATTTTGCTTTTATTTCATTAGCAACCAGGAATTGTGGTAAAGTGGCCCTTGGGGATTAGCCCTCACTGAACTCCTCATGTGACAAAGGCTAAAGTCCTCTCAGCAGGACAGAAAAATGTTCTAAGTCCATAATCAAACTCTCAAAGGTTAGAAATGCAAGAGATTAACCAGAAACATTAAGAGTCGGGGCGCCAATACGATGCAGAGAGAAACAGCAGGATGGCAGGGGCTGACCCAAGAATGCGAGCTCAAAGGAATGGAGGCGTGCACTCTCTACTATAACCTTGATTCTCTTTTTATTATTATTATAGTTTTCCTGAGAATTTATTTTGTATTTTAATCATATCCACAACTACTAGCTCCTCTTATTTCCACATCTTTTAATTTTTTTCCTACTAACTTTATTCCCCTCGTTTTTCTTATAACAACCTTTTGGCTGCAAAAAGTTCTGCCTGAGTCTTGAGCCTATGGCTAACCACTGGAGTATGTTTAGGCCACCAGTAGAGAAACACTTCATTGATACCCCAACCAAGGACCGTGCATGGAGAGGACCTAAAACACCTGCTCAAATGTAGCCATAGACCCAGTCTCAAGTGGTCTCCTTAGTAATGGGAACAGGGACTGTCTCTGACATAAATTCAGTGTCCTGCTCTTTGGTTACCTCCCACTGTGGGGTGCAGCCTTGCCAAGCCACAGAGGAAGACAATGCCACCAGTCCTGATGAGATCTGATAGACTAAGGTCAAATAGAAGGGGAGTAGGTTCTTCCCTATCAGTGGACTAGGGGAGGGGCATAGGGAGAGGAGAGAGACATTAGGAGGAGTGGAGGGGTCCACAGCCGGGATACAAAGTAAACAAATTGTAGTAAATAATAAATAGAAAATTTAAAAAGAAACTTTAGATAAAAATTAGAATAAAAATAATTTCAAACTAACAACAACAACAACAACAACAAAAACCATCTCTCAGTTTCCTTTCTGTCATGAATAGCTCCTAAGCTGAAAAAAAAAGTCTAATTTCCCATTCCATGGTAGGATTTTTCCCGGCTTGAGCTTGCACGTGTTTTGTGCACACTGTCACAACACTGTGAGTTTATATGTGCATCTGCCCTGCTGTGTACAAAACCCTGTTGTCATCTTCAGCCTGTAGCTCTTCAGACCTGCCTCCCTCTCATGTACTGATTGTCGGGCCTCCAGAGAAGGAGATACTGTGTAGGTGTCCCATTTAGAGCTGAGCTCACTGCAGTTATTTTTATTTGCTGCACTTTTTAAATCTTTAATCCAAAGTGAAGGCATACAATTGATATTTATTATTTTGATGATTTTATTTTGAGTACTAGTTCTTAAGGTATACAGCTGTGAGTTTTATTAGTTCATCATAAGGGAAATCTGAAAGGACACCTCATTTAATTACTCAGTAAATATAGGAGAGTTGAGAAGCGAAGTGCCTTATGACCAAGTTAAAGAGATATTTCTAAAGTAAGTATTACGTTTTAATAATTAGGGCATCTTATATACTGACTACATTAGAGGGCTTATTAGGCTTGCTTATGTAAACCTTTATTAATTCAAAATATACCATACAGCACCTACAACATAGTATGTGAGGATATAGAATAGATTAAAGTAAATAAAGGTACTTGTGGAAGAAAATAAAGTCTTGCACTTACTCGTGCATTAGGGGTCTGATGACAGTGCCACCGTGAACGTGGGCTTCATGCATCTGTGTGTAGAAATACGGCAGCAAAGTGTATCTGTGTTCTAGAACCTTCCTTGACATTTCAGCAAAAGTTTCATTCCAGGAAACAGGATCTTGCCTCTGAAAATAAGCACAATGTGTCAGGCACAACTCATCTTTTGGATCTTGATATTCAAAGATATTCTTGAAGAATGAAAGCAGCAAATAATTAACAATATCATGTGGTATGTACTATCTTTACAGAAACCCCTAATGCTCTCTTAGTTCTTTTTCATATCAAGAGTGAAAGTGGTAGAATATTAGGATTTTAATAAGTTAATGTAAATTATGCCCAGAGCTTGATCTAGTTCATACTTTAAAAGATGATAAATACATTGCCAGCTATGGTAATACTCAGTGTTGAGAAGTGAAGTCTACAAATCAAAACATATTGTTAGTTACACAAACATGGCCTGAAATATCAAGGGATAAATGGGGATCACCATACTAGCCTCTCGCACTGTAGAGTGTCATGGGAAATGAATAGATTACAGTACTATTAATAGCACAGAAGGAATATGCCCATTAATCTTGAACGCCTCTAAGTCTTCTTTGCAATACACTTCAAGTCAAAAAGTAATACTGATAGTGCAGTATTAAGAATCTACTGATAAACCAGGGTCAGATGAAAGGGGAGGAGGTCCTCCCCAATCAGTGGGACTTGGAAAGGTGCAGGGAGGAGATAAGGGAGGGAGGGTGGGCTTGGGAGGGGATGAGGGAGCGGGATACAGCTGGGATACAAAGTTAATAAACTGTAATTAATATTATTTATTAATTATTTAATAATTAATATTAAAAAAGAATCTACAAAGTTAATAAACTGTAACTAATATTAAAAAAAGAATCTACAAGAATATTATTGTTCTTATCAGAAAAAAAGGAATTAATATATATTTTAATATGAATCATGGACACAAACTACACTTCCTTATAATTACAAAGGGCATCTCTCTTATGTTTGTTAATGGCAATAGTTAGAGACTTTTAGAGCTACATCAGATTTATAAAGAATTTAACTTTATTAGATTTTGGAAATAAGAAATTTGGAATGATAACCTGGTGTTTCCCCTGGGAAATGCACTATCAGATTAAGCAAAGACTTGAAATTACACTAGCTCTAAAATTATTAAATTATGCATGATCCTATGTATAATGGTAGTTATTAATACATAGTATATTTCAATAGTTTCATTGTCAAGTAGAAAGAGACAAAGATAATAAGATTTTGCCAAATTATGTAATCGCAGGTTTCGTTCTGTTGATACATAACCATGGAGTGTTAACTTCAATTTCATTGATTCATATTTAAACAAATTAAGTTTTAATTTCTGGAGATATTTATTTTAAAATATTTCTTTCTTCTGTCCTTCCTTCTCTACGTTATTTTTTTTCCAAAATTCTACCAATGTTAGTAGCTTCTGAATTTGAAATTCTTTATCTGGAATTAACCTCCTTAAATATATGAACTTTTTTCCTCATTGACACCTCTGTTCGAATCCATGCCCTCAAGAAACTTCCATTTGGGTATAGAACCTCCATGCATCTCTTCAACTGTATTCCCCATACTTAACACATATTTAATAGACCTTAACTCATTTTAAATATAAATATAAATAAATCACCTTAGAATATAATGAATCATTAGAATACAAAAAATAAATATTTAAGTATATATATACACTCTCCATAAATATTCTCCAAATCACTCCCTATCCAGACTTCTCTTAATCCCTGCTGTTTTTATCCAGTGTGGTAATCTCCTAAATTAGTAGCAACATTGTGTTAAAATTTTGACATTTCTCCAAAATACTTCTCCACAATTTGCCTGTCTTTCAAATTGCTTCAAAACATCTTAACTTGCTTTGTATCCTTGTCTTTTTTACTATTAAAAGTTAATAAATCCCCTTCCTCTAGTTTAAGTAAAATATGGATGCTTCAATGTTCCCCCAGCACAGCATGCATGTTTTGGTTAGGAAATATGCTTGGATGATGACCTTCTGGTGTTTTCTATTGTCAGCCTTTGACTGACGTGCTTTCTGCTCCAGTCACCTTTTTGCTTTGCACTATTACCTAGTGCTTCGTAGGATATGGCCTCTAAGTGTACACAGTTTTCCAAAAAATTAGGGACTGTCTAATGCAGTACTCAAAAATTGTATGCACAGTTAATAATGTTAATAACTCTCAGTGATTGCCACTGCACAGAGACCTGCTCCTGCAATCATGCTATTTTTTCTCGTTTTTCAACTTAATAACTTGTTTTTTAAATATTTGCTTTTAAATCTTTCCATTCCATCCTTTATTTCAAATGTCTAGTCCTTCTAATCAATTCAGCTTCAAGTCGAATTTTTTTTGTTGCTCTGTCCCACGTTGAAATGCATTCTACAGTTAGACATTTCCCCCCCTAACTTTTCCAAAATCTTATAGAACAGCTATAGTGTGTGTGTTCCCTAACCAAGCCATGATGCCTGGGAATACTTCAGGTCATACTAAATAGTCTTTCATAAATACAAAAAGATTTGGAGCATTCATTTAGAACATTGTCAAGTAAAATACAGTTGAAACAACAACAAACAATTTAAGGCTGCATGGAGAAAAATAAATAAAACAAAATTGCCATGAATGTAGTAATTACATACTCTAGTAAATTGAATGTTGTGATTTCTCGCATATGGATAAAAGGCTCCAACTTGCATCCAACGAGCACAGAGATGGTATTCTGAATCATTGAAGAAACCACAGATATCTGCTCCAACCTAAAAGATAAGTTATATTTAATGCATATTAAGTACTTTTTCTAAAGTTGTATAGACTACAAATATAAAATGAATAGATCTACTTACATATGGTATCCCAAAAAGATTAAACTCCAGCATACCTAAAAAAGAGAATAAAGTTTTATAGAAATATTTTTATTTATTTCAGTATTTTACTTTTATTAACGAACATGTTCTCTTCAAATATCATTTCTTATTAAATGAAATATTTGGTATTAATAATAGATTATTCTCTTATAAAATTTATACCACTTTTTGTGCTTAGTAGTGTGAATGATATTCTCAAAAATAAGAGATCGCATGGTTTAAGGCAATAGCACCATAATGTAACTTAAGCACAAATAAGTTATAAACATGCCATGGTGGCATAAGGCTAAGTGATAGTATTTTCCCAATTTCAATTAAAAATATATTTTCCGCAACTATTTAGCCATTTATTTTATCATATAAAATGTATAATTACTCTTATTGAGTAATATAAAAAATCATACAAAATAGAATACTTCTAATTTCTCAACTCTTTTGGTAAATAAATATTCTAATCATGGTTTTAAGAATCTTTCATTCATCAATAAGGTTTAAGTCTAGACTCAAAACAGTATTTGTCTATTGATGCTTTGACCAGTCTTTTGCCAGAAAAAGCTTTAGCTGGGTGTGTTGCATTCTTTACCATAACTAGGTGATTCTTATTTTCTAGCAGAAAATATCTACTCATTTCTTTGTTAGCTGTAGAATAGTGGCTTTTCAAGCTCTTGACTTTTCAACCAGTTACATAGTTCAAGACAGATAGTGGTATTTTTATCCAAATAAACTAGCTGAGTATCATCAGTCATTCGTTTTTCTGAAGCATCATTGATTATAACTCCCTGACTAATGATGTTTCAGTAGTGTTCTGTTTCATAAAAAGGATGTGACTATTTTAATTCTTACGAGTTAGCAATGATACATCCAGCATAAGGCAAAACAAATATTTTATGAAAATTATAAAAATAATGATACAAGATAATTATTACATACCAATGAGGGATTTTTCCATATTATCCCATTTTGCATAATTGTCTCCGAGCCAGTGTCCCCCCCATCGACCAGCAGTGGGATAAGTGGACCGAGAGATGACTATTCCTCTCAGGCCAGTGGTCTTCTGTATTGCACTATAAAATGAAGAAATATGTTGCATGTTTACATCATTTGTTTTCTTTAAAATTTTTGTTTGTTTGTTTTCAAGACAGAGTTTCTATGTGTAGCCTTTGCTGACCTGGAACTTGCTTTGTAGACCAGGCTGGCCTCAGACTCAGAGATCTGCCTTTCAAGTGCGGGGATTAGAGGCTGTCACCACACCTTGCTTAAACATTTCTACTTATGAGTCTCAGCATCTGCTTTGATACACTGCTAGGTAGAGTCTTTCAGAGGCCCTCTGTGGTAGGCTCCTGTCCTTTTTCTTGTTTTCTCATTCTTCCAGTGTCCGTACCATTTATCTTTCTAAGTGAGGATTGATCATCTTACCCAGGGTCCTCCTTCTTGTTTAGCTTCTTTAGGTGTACAGATTTTAGTATGTTTATCCTATCTTATAAGTCTAGTATCCACTTATAAGTGAGTATATACCCTGTGTCTTTCTGCTTTGGGGCACCATGTAGGAAATCATATGAAAGAAGAGGGAGTTAGTAAGACCTGGAGAAGACAGGAGCGCCACAAGAGAGAGCAACAGAACCAAAATATCTGAGCACAGGGGGTCTTTTCTGAGACTGATACTCCAACCAAGATTCATTCATGGATATAACCTATAACCCCTGCTTAGATGTAGCCCATGGCAGCTCAGTATCTAAGTGAGTTCCCTATTTAAGGGAATAGGGACTGTTTCTGACATGAACTCAGTGGCTGGCTCTTTGACCAACCCTCCTGAGGGAGGAGCAGCCTTGCTAGGCCACTGAGGAGGACATTGCAGTCAGTCCTGATGAGACTCAGATGGAAGGGGAGGAGGACCTCCCTCATCAGTGGACTTAGAGAGGGATATGGGAAGAGATGAGGGAAAAAGGGAGAGTTTGGGAGGGAATGTGGGAGGGGGCTACAGCTTGGATACAAAGCAAATAAAATGTAACTAATGTAAAAATAAAAATTTAATAAGAAAAAGAAATTTCTACTTTGACAACTTCTTGAAAACATAGCACCTACTTTATGATGCAGGTTTCTTAGCACAGTCAGAACTTCACAGCTGAGCAGTCCCTCATTAGGTACTAGTACCCTCCCAGGCATGAGCAGACCGTTTCCTTCCCTTTTAACATTCAATACAGTGACACGCACAGATAAAACATAATTTTCCTTTTTTAACCATTTGATGTTTGTAAGTTATCTCTAATATTAACTAAGCTAATAACCAAATAGGGCGTTTTATTCTTCTTAAATTTGTAGTATCCAATAGAAGTCTAGATATGATAACTCAATGCAGCTCTTCTCAGTTATAACTTATATTGTACACATTACTCTGAAGAATGTATATGCTAAAGAATCCCCTGCTTTACAGTATATAAAGACTAGAAGATTTTAATGGATTGTTTTTTGTTTTTTTTTTTTCCAAAAAAGTAATCATTGTACTTCAGTTCTGGAATATATCCCAAGTCAAATTTCATCAAGAAAAGGAATTACACAAATATGTTTATAATTTCTTTTCCATTTCTCTTCTATCCTTAGATAGTAGCTTTCATGACTTTTGAATATTAAATCATATTCCTGTTTAGAATACAGTGTAATAATACATTACTTTCTATTATCTGTATCCTTTTATCTTTTCACCTTTCACTTTTCATCTTCCATCGTGCACATTTTCTCACCTATCTCTCTATTTCATGTGTAATGTGACAAATACATATAATAGCATGTATAGGTATATATTACATGTACAACTCACATTAGAATGGCCTAGAATCCTTTGGAATCACATGGAAAAAACAAAAAAAGAACATAATGATGATAAGTAGATTATTTGATTGCTTACCTGATTGATAGGTAGAAATGAATTTTTCTCTACAATTAATGAAAGAAGTAATTTACAAAAACAGTTGGAAAAGAAAGAAATTCATCAAGGCTCTTGAAGTATGATTCTTTGAAGCTAATATCAATATAAAAAAGCCCAGAAAAGCAGAGGAGAAAATTCCAAACATTACTTACTCCAGAGTGGGTTTCACTTGTGACCATCCATATAAATTGTGCACATCATAGTGCAAAACTCGTGACCCATCACTAAGAATCTGTTCCGTCTCCATGCACATGGTTCGGAAATGTAGCCCCTCAGTTCTTTTTGTGAGTTCTGGGAAAATACAGTAGTACTTTGAAGAACATGACTTGGAATCTGTAGCTCATAAATATATACTCTTTAATTTTTAATTTTCAGATTTAAGTTTTATTAGTGAATTAAAAGATACTTATGAAGTATAAAGTAATGCTTTAATTCATCTATAAGCTGATAACAATCAACTCAGGGTCATTACCATGATGATCACTCTAAGCTTTCAACATTTCTTTATGGTGAATAAGTAAAAACTGTTTTTATAAATATTCGGAAACAGTATACACCACCTGATTAGTTATATTCTCCTTATGTGCCATAAAAAGATCACATATTCTAATAAATCATAATAGTGCACCGACTCACATATTTTTGATAAACAAATTCTGAGATTTAAAATAATTATATACTTTTAATCATTTGTATACTTTGTGTATACAAATTATAGGTGTCTGTAGTGATCTGTGCAATGCTAGCTGAAACTTGTGGGTTTATACATATCTAAAATGTGTGTATATTATCTGTTACATGTAATTTTTAAAATTTTCTTTTTAATTTTTATTTATGTGTATGTGTTCATGTGCACATAAGTGCTCACGGAGACCAGAAAGTGGCATTGGATCTTCTGGATCAGGAATAATATAAATAAGTGATTTCAAGCTGTCCCAGGTGGGTGATAGAAATAGAACTCTGTTTCTCTGAAAGAGCAGTTGGCACTCTATCATTAATCCATCTCTCCATACCTGAAATTTTTACCAATTTTTGTTCATTTAAATGTAAAATACTGATCCAGAATATTTTCATTAAAATAATTCAATTGGAGAACACATTTCAGAACCAAAGCCACTGTTGTCTTCCACAAGCTTTATGTGTGTTTATTGCCTTCTTTCAAGCATCAGCTGTCACCAGATCACAAATAAGCAGAGAATGTATTTTCTTTTATTTTATCCTTCCTAAGAATAATTGCTACACATTTTTTAATGAGTAAATGGAATTATATAATTTAATTTAGAAAATTCTTAAGAAACCACAATAAAAATTTATATTAACTTAGAATTATGAGCATAAAAACAATACAATTGCTTTTCTCCTCAAAACAGTGCTCCGTTGTTGGATATTGGACATGAGGTTAGATATATTGTGCTGTGTGACTATTGAAAATTTAGAAAAATTTTACAGTTACTACAACTTGAGGTCTACATAAGCAATAAACAATAATAATGATATCACATTATAAAAAGTATAGCCATCTAATTGTACCTGGAGCATAAGGTGGGTAATTTAGTGTATCATTTCTGCATTTATTAGTAACTGTTCCATTTACAAAACTTGAAGGCTCATTCATATCCTTAAAGAGAAGAGAAAACAAGTTAAAATGAATACTTTTGAAGCTGGACAAGAAGCTGGACACGCAACACTTACATTTTCCTGCATGAAATATTTACCTATAGAAAAGGGAACTCTTTTTTTTTTGAGGGGGGGAAGGACTCTTTTTATACTATCTCAAAATTATAAAGCTAAAATTTGCAAAGTGCTTGGGGGGCATTACATTTGCTAATAGTTGAGTGTGACTTTTGTTTGTTTCTTGAGACAGGATTTCTCTGTGTAGCTTTGGCTGTCCTGAACTTGCTTTTCGACAAGGCTTGCCTTGAACTCACAAAGATCAGTCTGCCTCTGCCTCCCTGAGTGCTTGAATTAGAGGCATGCACCACCATCCGTGGCTGAATGTAAGTTTTTTGCCTTAGATAAATTAAGTAAGTGCTTAATTTCTTTTTCAAAACTAGAAGCAGAGGCTATTTTGGCTACTTTGTCAAGTTGAGAAACCCAGGAAGTAATAGTCATATATATGTATTAAATTGTTAAAGGTCTGTGTTTTATGTAACAATCTTCAGCAACAAAAGAGTGAGCTAACCTACACAAGGTTCTATAGGCATTATTATTAGATTTGCAAAACCACTACAGAATAAATTTGAGATAAAACATGAATAGCTCACTTACAATCCACAAGCCATCAAACTTCATTTTTTCATTGTAGAAATCGTAAATTTCTTTTGCCCACCACTCCGCTGTAGAATTCCTGAAGAAGTCTGGAAATGCTGCATGTGCTCTGGAAGCCTGAACAAGACAGTGAAAAAGGTGCAGGCTCACATTCAAAAGCCCTCAGAGAACATGCAGATGTAAACAGAACATTGCTTTCTGATTCCTTGGTGACCTGAGAGTAACGGTGAATATAGTTTCTCTCCAGCATCCAGTGGCAATGGAGACAGGCTTAAAAGTGCAGAGAGAAAGACAGAGCAACACCCAGGCTTAAGTGGGTGATAAGAACACTCCGAGGATCATTATGAAAGACAGAACGTCCTAAGAGTCAGAGAACGTAGATAACTAAAACAACTTTTTTTTAATAAAATAGAGCAGATGAATCACAGGGGTTGTGCAAGCTCAAACCAGATTAAATACAAATATGAACCTGGAAACTGTGCACAAAGTCAAAGCCTCTGGCTAAGGAGCATATGGCAAATGATATCTGCTGGGAAAGGGAGAGCCAGGTAAAACTCTGTCTTTCATGAGAGCTTGTGTTTTAAAATATATTTTTAGTAGCCCCATGGGCAGCTCAGTCTCCATGGGGGTACCCTAATAAGGGGAGCAGTCACTGGCATGCACTTGATTGCCTGCTCTTTGTTCAACCCCCTCTGGTAATGTGGACTTACTAGACCACAGAGAAAGAGGATCCAGACAGTCCTGATGAGACCTAATAGGCTAAGGTCAGAGAGTAGGAGAGGAGTGTGCCTCTCCTAGGAGTGGACTAGGGGAGGGATATGAGGGAGTGGCCACAGCCAGGATACAAAGTGAATAAATTGTAGAGAAGAAGAAGAAGAAGAAGAAGAAGAAGAAGAAGAAGAAGAAGAAG